AAATATTCTTAGATGTTGTACTAAATATGGGTAGGTAATTTTGAATTTAATAGTTATTTGGTATTATTTATGGGAGCGTTCCAGATGCGCACATTTTAATCGGATACACCACTCACATCAGCCGATACCTAGGAATTTTCTAGTAAGCCACCTACAAAAATTTTTTTATTTAATCGACCAATGTCCGATTGGACCTCACCCTGCATAACGCATAATGCATTATGCATAATAAGAAAATTAATCAAGATCAGAATCTTTCGTTTTTATTGGGGGGGGGGGTAGAAATGGAGAATTATGATTGGTTCATTTTCTTGTGCGTTGTGCGTTGCATTATGCGTTATGCAGAAGTGTATGCTCGGCCCTAAGGGCCTATCTAGACTTGCATAGCAGCATAACCATAATATGCATAAGGAAAACTATCCAATCACATTTTACATGTGTTCTTATGATAAAAATGCGATTGGATAACTTTCCTTAAGCCATATCAGACGGTTGACGATTCTATTTCAGCCAATCACAATGTAGCATAGATCCTGATTACGGTCAATAATAATAATAAAATCGTCAACTGGCAACCGGTAACCGCTAGTCTGATATGGCTTTTATGCATATGGTTATGCTGCCATGCAAGTTTGTCTAAATAGGCCCTAAAAATAACTTTGAGCATGAAAAGCAATCTTTATGCTACCTATATGCGTTTCATGTGCAATGCGCTTTAATTTTTACTTGATAACATAACCTAAATTTTATGCTTGTTTATGGTTTATATTATTCTAAGGCACTTAAATATTTACTAACCGGTAGAATACATAAAAAAATAATTGCTTGTAGATTATTGAATAAAATGATAATATATATATATATTTATATATAATTCAGATATACATATGAATTCTATTAATTAAAAAATTATCTATTAATTATTCTATTAATTAAAATTTATTAAAAAATTTATCGAATTTGTAAAGAAACATCTCGTGTAATAGTAAGCATAAATATACACAAATATAATATTTTTGTAATAATGAGGTTCAATAAAGGATTGATCAGAACATCATACATTTTGAAAAAGAATGAGTACCGAAAAATTCTTATGAAAAATCTAGGTTTAACTTCTAATGACGCAAATGAGTTTCTTGAAGTACAGAAAAAAGTCCTCGATATTCCTCATCATCGAATAATAAAAAATTGTCTAATATGTCAGGTGAGTATGTAAATATCATTTATTAATGTGATAAATTAAATGTAATTTTTTCTTTTTTGAAAGTCAAGCTAAACTAATAATTAATTTAAATAGTTTTTATTTTATTTATGATATAATTAATAAAATCAGAAAGAAATCAACAAATATCAATTGAAGCTATAATTGAATGTATATTAATTGAAAAAATTTTTTTGTTCCTAACAGAGTCAAGCAAAGGAATATCTTTGAAAATTTTTAATTTTCTTAAAATATTATCATATAAATATATATATATTATATATTATTTAATATATAAATATATATATATATGTATATTCATAATATATATATGTATAATATATATAGTATATATATATATATATATATATATTTATTTATTTATTTATTTATTTACTCTAATTTTAATAAAGTATTTTTTATTTTTACTAATTTTTAGAGTATGATCTTTTTTAAAAATAATGATATAATGATATCTGTTTTTAGACAAAATATAATAACATCTTATTTATTTTTCTCAGAAATATAATATTGATGTAAAATCTATGGAGGGCCTTTACTTTTGTATAAAAATGCTTGATTGTACATTGGAGCACAGAATTAATGTACTCAAAGATATAGGAGTGCCAGTTATAAAAACATCTCTAATACAGAAGTAAACTGATTATATTGATTCGATTACATGTTCTAATGAATAGTCTTTTTTAATCATTCTTAAAATTTTAGCGTGTTGTTACATTTTCGTAAGAAAGTATCAGAATTCAAAAAAGAGACGAATATTCCAGCTGAGCAAGATATTATTAAAAATATATTCTGTCATGGAGTTCCTGACGACATTTCCCAGTTAAAGTTAAATGATGGATTGACAGTCCACCAGTATTATCAGGCATGTCTCTTCTATTGCAAAACACAAATGTTTAATTTGCCATATTTAGATGATAAAGCATTGTTAAACACACGTTTAAGGCTGACAAGTATAAGTATGATTGAAGAAACATTAAAAGTACTTAGACTTGATCTTGGTTACTGCGAGGAAATGGTAAATATAGCTTTAATTTTAAAATTTATATGAATGTTTTAAAAAAATTTTTTTAACAATTTAAAGGAATAAAAGTAATTATGAGTTTTTGTATAATTTCTTACTTTTTTTAATCATTCTTTTAATATATTAAATTTGTTAATTTTTGAATGTAAATATAAATATTTTCTATATTTTTGCATTCTTATATATTTATATGAATTAATTTTATTGTTTTTTTATAGATAAAAAAAATCCTTCAGTCATCATCGCTTCTGCTGATAACATCAGATCATTGTTGAATAGTTTTACAGACATTTTAGGAATACCGATTATAACATTTTTGAGAGAATACCCAAATATGCTTTTTGAAGATGCTACCAACATTAAGCTATTATTAGCATCGTTCAAGCAACATAAGATACCAGATGAATATGTAAAGAATTGCACAAAAATTTTTCACTTAGGTAATGATATCTTTCAAGAGCGAATAGAAATTATAAAGCGCCATCCAGAACTGAATATCTGGTACAAGCATCCACGAATTTTAAGAATTATAAGTCGCCTAAAGCTAACTCGATGTCGCATGGGATATATTGATCACATGGATTCCTTTAAATGGGCTCGTCCACAATCGTACTTATGTTCAAAGAAGGATATAGAAAAGTAAGAATTTATAGATATTTCGCAAATATGATTGATGAAATAACTCTCGATATATCTAATAAACATATATATATATTCTTTTATTTGTATTAGATCTTTGCAAACCGGCATAGTTTCATCCAAATTTGCTCTAAAATATATATTGCTGAAGGAATTGGGAGTAAATGAGGTCGATTTATTAACGAGACATCAACATTGGAAAACAGTTGCATTCATTGATATCGTACAGATGTTACAATACTTGCAGAAATATTTTACAATAGACGAAATACGCCCGAATATACACATTATACTTTATAAACAGTAATAGCCATATATGTTTAATAATAAAATTTAAAATTAGATACACTATTTAAATGTACTAAATATTTAAAAATTTAACAGAAAACAGTTAATTCAGACATTACACGATCGCATAAAATGTTAAGTATCTACAATCTTTTTAATTTTTTAATTAAATTCAAAAATTAAAAAGATTAATAAGTGCTTAAATTCTGCCGTATCCTGTAATGCCTGAATTATTTATTTTCTGTTGAACATGTAATAATCAATTTATATTTATTTGTATTTAAAAACTTAATTACACATAATAAACATAATTTTTCTATCATTGATTTTTTTAATCTTTGAATTTTTTTATTTTTTAAACATTTGTTATTAAATGATTAATCAAACGTCCTATTTTTATTTTTAGATCCACAGTAGAGAAAGTATTGGCTGAATTGAAACGACAATACTCTCAAAATACTGAGTATTCATTTAGTAATAGCCAATATCTTGCATTGTGTCTATATATGTTGGAGAAAGATAATAATTTTACAGGCGATGGTATATGGAACAACAAACAGAATGAGAATCAACAAACTTTGGAAAAACTAAATACTATAGAAAGATTAGATGATGATATTAATACTATGGAAGATTCTAATAATAATTTGAGTACAAAAAGTAATATCAATCATAATGATATAGATAGGAAAGATATAGTGTGCAAAAACAATATACATAACATAAACTGTTAAAACGGTAATATATATATAAAATGTACGTAAACATTTTTACTTGTACAGAATATTTTACAGAATTTCATATTACAGAAAATAAAGACTGTATATTTGTATAATATATGCAACACATGTAAAAATGATATGAAAAATATGATAGTATGTTTTAAACGAGATTACAAAATAAAAAAAATTCATGCGAAAAATATATATTGAAGTTTATGTGGTTTCCGTTTATTATAAATTATTTTTAGGTATTAAAAAATTTTAATATGATACAAAATGATATGAAATAAAATGATTGATGATATGAAATAAAATTATTTCCATTTTGATTCATGCTTCATACAAA